AATCATTAAAAATAAAAATATGAATAGTTAAGATTTTATATAAATATAATGGGTAAAACTTATATATAAATATATTCCTACTCTTTTATAAAATATACTAATAAACCAAGTTACTCTAGTAATATTAACGCCATTTAGTTGATTAGATTATCAATATCAATTCTATTTAAGTAGTAGGATGCGCTCCTTAGAATTCTTACTTTCAATGTGGAGTTTGGATTAGTCTACTAATTTTTTTTAATCAAATACCTTTAATTTCTAAATGGCAATGTTATAATTATAATATTACATAATTAAAATTATAAGTTTATAATCATGATATAACATTAAATAAGTATGATATAACATTAAATGAATGAATGTATATAATATTACGAATATATCTTTAAATAAAAGAATCAATTATATAACGGTATATCATATTGTAAGTTTATACTATCACATGTTATTGTAATTATATCATTTTTATATTTAAAACAATTTTAAAATATTTGAGATATTCTAGAATGAGTTTATTGAGTGTTAACGAAGTATCAAGTTAAGCTCTTTTTAAGAGTAGAAGTAAGATTTCATATGGTATTTTTATGTGCAAAAAGAAATTCAAAGTATTTAACATATAGCCGGGTTTTAATTTTATTAATGTTTGGTATGTTATTTCTCTACTTCTATTACTTTTCCTTATGAAATTTATAAAACAGTAGTTTCATAAAATTAATTTTACATAATATTTTAATTTAATTATTTATTTTCTTGTTAAGTAATAAATATTTAGTTCACAAAAACCTATCTTATTAATTTAAATTCTAAATAAAAACATGAGAATGGTATCTATCCACTTTACCTCTTAAAAATTAGGAAAAAAATCATTTTAAAACTATATCGTTTTAATAAATTTTTATTAAAAAAATTAAAATATCTTATTTTTAAAGCATAAATTACAAAATTTTTTATCCTTCCCTGTAATTCTATATTAAAACTATGTAATTTTACAATAAATTTTTTTAATTTTTAAAAAATAAAATAAATAAACATTAATCCCTAAAAACATTTAGTATACTTTGACAAAAATATCTTGTTCTCACAAGGATCCCATTTTCTGTAGAGATGTGGACGGAGGGCATTTTTACCTCTAATAAAAAATCTTTGCGAAAATCCCTGTACCCGTCATTAAGAAGAACAGGGTTGGGGAGGGGGACCCCAACCCCGTGGAAACGGTTGCCATCCCTGTGGATGGGCACTTCTCCCATATATATTTTTGTCTTTCTACTCACTAACTAAAATTTGTTTTGATTTGTGGGACAAGGGATTCAACTGTATTAAAGAGTCAATAACATGTGCTCATTATATCGCAGACGGGGTATTTCCAATTACATGAAAGAGGTTCTCCTTGTAATTGGTTGGGACCAAATCTCATGGACAACCTTGTCCAAATAAATAAGATTAATGGCTTGGAAATATGTGGGTGGGGTCTTCATAATTAACAACTTTGATCAATCTTCCATTTTACTTTCACTTTCATCATTTGCAAACACGACTTGTTTTGGTTGAGGTTCAAAAATAAAATCATTTACAAACCCGACTTTCTACAAGTTTCTCAACTTAAAAAATTGTGGTTCCTCGTAACTGACGAAAAGAAATCCTACCAAATATTTTTTTTTCCCCTTTGATAAAAAATAGGTTGTAAGACAAACATCGTAGTATTTACCTCTAAGTTAAATTTCGTTTTGCTAAACATATGTTTGATACCTAGGAAAACTCAAACTAATTTCAGGCTAGACTATAATTTTGACCAGCTAAAGCAAAAGAAACAGCATATTAGATATGAAATCTTAACATTAATTTGATCTGAGTGAAAAAAGTTCAATTTCTCTTAAAAATAAGGTTTCGAGTTCGAATTTTATAAATGAAAAAACAGACGTTAAAAGAACTTTTTTTTAATAAGATCCGATGTAAGTTAATTCTGAATTAATCGAGATTCAATATGATTATCGAATACCAAAAAATTAATACAAAAAATATATGGAATCTTAACTTAGATCACACATATAGAACCCTCTGGCAGTGCAAGTTGGATGCTTTAGTTAGTTTAGCAATCATTTTCAATGCATGCATCTTTCCTTTTTTTTTTTTTTCCTTTTTTTTTTGTATAGACTTTTTTTATTCTTAATTCTTCGAATATCTTATAAGTCATGCGTTTGAGATTTTACTATTTAAATTATTAAATAAAAAATTTTCAAACTTGTCATTATAATATTTAAAAAAACTCTATTTAATAATGATTCATATTATACATTTCAAATTACTCAGAATGCAAAACATTTTTTGATAAGTGGTCTCATCATCACGTAGTGAAGTTATTTAGTCTTCCACGTTTGTTACTGCAGCCAATATTGTGGATAAATATTCCATAATTGCATTTTCTTGGTATAGATTTGACTCCATTTCCTTACATTTGGGTCTAATTCCCAGCAAACAAAAAATTTCAACTCCAATATTCTCTCTCATTTTGTGTGTGTGTGTGTGTGTTAAGTGAGTGAAATGCCCACTTAGATGGGAAGATTATCAAGAATGATGATGAATAATGCTAAGCTTAGACATGATGCCTCACTAATAGCCTTAGCCCATCAAGGCTGGGGGACTCTTTAAGTAGCATGATGGAGCTGGTGACCAAATAGATACCACATTTTTAAGACAGCCTGCTTGGAGTCCCGGCACATCTTTTTCAATCCATCACTTTCTACATTTCAAGTCTCCTTGGGAAGAATGCACGCGCATGCCGCACCACCTTGGAACACGGCGGTCGGTGATGGTAAACTGGTTATAATTACTTTTAGACTGCAGCGCGGATGGTGGAGTGGACCACTTGAAGAGAGAAAAAATTAAAAAAACAAATTCACTCATCCAAATGCCTCAAAAGAAAGTGGCACATAATCCATAATGTTCCATCGTGCCTATGCAATTAACGTTGTAACACCGTAGATGATTTAAGTCAAGTTGAGTTTTACCTTTGAAATGTCTTAAGTTGAACTTGAGTGACCCATCCTTGTCATCATCGGGCTTATCTCGGAACGGTTCGAACTGAAATATAGCTTATCAAACTTTTATAACACATACAATATATAATAATATTATAATTATAATGTTATGTATATATATATGATTATTGCTGATAAAAAAAAATGTATATATATATGATTATAAAATTATAATTATAATATAGTATTAAATAAATAAAAACATATTAATATTATGAGTAAATTTTTAAATTAAAAAAATTAATTATATAATTATATATTATATTATAAATTTAAAGTATAACATGGTATTATAATTAGATAAAATCTTTAAATTCGCCTCTCAAATTAAAGGGTAGAGATAAATTACTTATCAAGAAATATAATAATAAATTATTCTTTCTAATTATCAATAAAAACATATCATTCATTATTTAATATGTAATGTTATCATATATCAAAAATTTGTTTGCCACCTAAACATTTTTAACTGAAAATTAATGTGTAATAATGCTTTATATTAAATAATAAATAACTTATTTTAGTTAATAATTTTAAGAAGTAGTTTATCCCTATAATTTTTTAAAAGATAAATCCGTCTCAACCCTATGATTTAAGACACAAATTTAAGAGTTTTACCTTGTAATCATAATATGTTCGTCTAATATATTTATTTTATAATATTATACAACTACTGGCGAGTTGATTTTTATCAAATTCAAGTTTGACCTTAAACTCATGTAGCCAAACATAACGCTGACAGCACAAAGACAATAAAGTAATAAACTTTTGGAGAAAGTTGAACATTGAAACACAGTACATGAATGATGCTCACCTAATTACCCATTACAAGTACTAGAAACTTTTAATTGACAACTCCGATCATACATTTAACACCCACAAGCTCCAGTTTCTACTTAGAATTGGGATCAGCGATTACCGAATACACCACACTAGAGATTCAAGGAGTCCATTTGGGATCACGGGGACTAAAGAATGAAGCAGTGACATGAGAATTAAGCAGGTTAAGTGCAGCATTAGAGTTAATGCACCTTGGTGTCTTGTACTGATTGATTGAACCCCCTTGGCTGATCAACAAATCCATCAGTGCCTCAAAGGTTCTTGTCTCAACAATACGTATCTCTAGCGGCCCCACTGACTTATCATAGCTCCGACATCGCCTGTATATGTAATCCAGCTCTTCCTCTACAGTGATGCAGCACTCTTGAAGTAGGTTGGCTTCAATTGGGATGGGTCCTGGTTCCACCATTTGAATTTCCCAGAAGAGTACGTAATGTCCTGGCATAGATGATGTGTCAGCATAGCTTGTGTACTCCACGAGCAGAGCATTGTAGGGTTCTAATAACCTTTTGGCTGTTGAGATGCTTCTGTGAAGATCTTCCTCATTCGTTTTGTCAGTGTCAATGCTCAGAACCACATTTCTCCTGCAGATGAATCGGAACTGTGGAGCTTGGTTGTGAAACCCAGTCACTTGAAGCACATCTCCAATACGATACCGATTTAGTCCTGATTAACAGAAAGTGTTAAAACCAGGTAGAACGGTGAGGCTATGGATATAGACCATCATAGGAATTCTTACCAGAAAAGGTAGTGATAACTAGTTCATAATAATTCCCAAGCTTGACGTTCACAAGATCCACAAGCATGCCATTATCCACCTCCTCCTCTTCATCTGTGTCCATTGAAAGAGTTCCATTCTCTCCCAAGGGCAAAAACTCAAAGTAAGCCATGTTTGGCATGAGGGTGAAGGAGACATCAGAAGGGTCAGACATGGGTTTCAAGTTGACACCAAAGTAACACTCCGAGGAAGCATACATGGGACAGACCAACGGCAGCTTTCCTCCACTGTAATACTCCAAGGCTGGGATATACTGTGCCATCGAGCCTGTGACAACAGCCTCAATGTACTTGGCCCTAGGCCAAAGGCGGCACAAAATTCCGTTCCATGATGGAGAACTACATATATCCTCAATCTCATTGGCAAGATTGGGATTAGGGGATGACAGTGAGGACAACATTGATGAGCGGCATCCAGGATCCGTAATCGACAGATCTAGTTGCCCAGTGCGGATGTCACTGCAGAGCTGAACCCATTTGCGCTCAAGAAAAGATATGGCTCGAAGAAAAGCAGTAGCAAACACAGCTCCGAGCCGCATGACCTGATGGCGGTGGAGTAGACCTGAAAGCAACTGGCAATACATGCTCTGGTTGCTGTCTGGGCATAAGATGGCTTGATCTGGGCTGGTAAAATCATTGAATGGATCCCGAGTCCGGCACTTGAAGTGCTTGCTCTTGTAGTAGCTGGTGAGCACAGTCCGGGCTGGTAAGCCACAAGGCGTTGAAGTTTCAGTCTTGATGAAGTAGAGGAACATGGCCTTGCCCTCATCAAGTCCACTAATGTACCTGGCATAAATCAAGATGTCAACTCAGGGATCATTAAGGTGCAATCTCATTGCGCAACAAACAGAATGCAAATGGGGCATGCAAGCTCTTATCATGCACTACACGCCATCATGCACCACTGTTTTCTGAAAATTAATTCAATATCCAGTCATTCTTTTTCTAATAGATAAGAGTACTATGTGAGTATGAATCTATCTGTAATACAACTCTTTTTTTTCTTCATAATGTAGGAAGAAATAAAAAACACTCATACTGGAAAAGAAGATTCAATGAACATTTGGGCAAGAGGAATAATGAACAATGTCTTCTCATCAAATAAAGTAAGTTATTGGAGTCACTTCAGTAAAAAAAAATGCAAGGCTCTACTCCATAAAGACAACATTTGCAAAGAGACATACGTGCATGCAATCACACACAAATGAATATATATAGAGGGTAAAAGAAAGATAAGAAGAGATGTGAGTTTCCAACTGGTTCATGATTGGCATGATGAGATTATATATGAAGGTTCGACGGTCAAGATCTTCTGCTATTGATGGCATCAACTTAGGCTCTCCACCAGAAGTCCCTGAGCTGCGCACATAGGATTGAAGAGAAACTGTTAGATTGAACAAAAGATGCGCAAATAATAATGGTGGCTACATACGTATGGAGACTAAAGAGAGGGAGAAATCAACCTGCATAACATTTCAGTTATTGGATGACCGGTAATAAGAGAAGAGTCCTCCCCATTTGCAATTCTATGGATATAGGGATAGATATACTTGTAGGTAATAACTGGGACGAGATGTTTAAACTCCAAAACAGCTTTTGATCCTTTCATATGCTTATTCAAGTACTCAGTTTCTCCATTTCGCTGTAAGATTTCTTTCAAAATGTCTTCCTGAACTTCATCAGCTTTTGCTGTTAGCTTCTCAATCTCCTTCAAGGCCTCCTCTCCTTTGTACTCCAATTTCTTACCATCCATGTTATCAAAAGAAACAACAGAAGAATAACAGAAGGAATAAAAGATCAAGATCAGTAACAAAAACTTTGGGTGAACAAGCAGCAATCCATAAGATCTATATATATAGAAAGTCTGGCTATGCTATGTTCTTCAAAACAATGAATATAATTTCTCTACACATCATTACAAATCCACTGGAAAATGATCTTGTGCTGATTTAATCTTTGATGTGGCCCCACATGTTTTTCCTTATTTGAGAACAATGGCTATATATACATATATAGGGAAAATTGTTTATCAGCCAGACCTCAAAAAAATTAAGAGGAAAAATACCCTAAAACTACGTTATTTCAATAAATTCTTATTAAAAAAGACTAAAATAACTTATTTTTAAAGCATGAATATATAAGACTGTTTTGGTCTTTTCCCATGGTGCCTTATGTATATAAAAGTCAAGGTGCACATACACACATGAAAGTCTTACGTAAATTATTAGCCATTGATTTTCAAATCCAACAATGTGGAAATCAATGGTATATATGCACACACACACACAACTGTTGTTAATAAACAGATAATATCCCTCCATATAAATAAAAAGATTTTCTTGTCAAGGTTTTTAAAATTTGACATCCAAACAATGTGGCTCATTTCAAATTACACATAGTAGATTCTAGATATCATGAACAACATAGAGATTGTCAGTATCTGGTTCTAACATCATATTGTCTATATAATGGACCTTTTACAACTTCTTTTCCATTATGTGAAAAGTGTAGAAAATCAAATATCTCTCTTTCAAGTATATATCTGTTATGTCCTTTGCTTTCAAAATAGGAATATGATGTGTAAAACATAAAAAATGAAAATCCTACTCCATTCCTCTCAATAGCAACTCTAGTGGTTAATAACAAGTTGTCATAGAAAGATCACTCAACGACAAAAAGAAAAAGGTGTAGGTATCAAAGGTCATTCACAAACCCCATTAACATAAAGTTATTCCTGACTGACTGGGTTTTGGATTGCAAGGAATTACAGCCTTGTCCTCAGTAATGGAATTTGATCCAAAAATTTGTACAGAGAAGCTACTGAAGAACAATCCAATTAAGCTGATATGCATAAGCTTGTTGATCCATTTGATATGCTAGATGATGGAGCTGCACACAAGGAAATATCACATCTAGATGGAGATGGATCAAAATGTGCAACATATCTACAGAACATGCAACATTTAACACTATTGATTGGCTGCGGCATCTATTTTGAAACTGGTGAGAGATACATCAGATTGGCATACATGACCTTTATGGTAAAACACTAGTGCTAGTGCAATAGAAGCTTTTTTCCGTACCTGGAAAGCTTGTGATAGTGCGGGAGAAAGTAGACATTACTGGGCAGTGTGTTTGGAGCACATTGATTGAGAAAGTAAGCCAACATCCACTTAAAATTATGTATGTACCATATTTCAATACTGTCTCATCATCCATGGACCATGCAGATAGTGTTGTCTTTACTTCTGAACTATTTTTCACAATCTTGTCCATATATTAGATATCAAGCCCCTTAAATCCAATCATCAGTTTTTTTTTTCCTGAAATCAGTATATCATTAAATCAAGAAGACCAGAAACAAAATAATATTCAATGGTAATCAGAAAGTAAAAATGCAATAACTATGCCAAAAAGGAAGAAGAAGTAAAGTTGCAATAACAAAAGCTGGAAGCCATAGAACTTGTTTACCATTTAGAAATGCCATTCTTACACTCACTAGAAATGAACAATTTGCAGAAGGAAATAATGGCACTCCTTTGTAGATAGGGTTTAATTTAGATGGCTCCAACCAGTTCTAAAGTCCACAACTTTTCAGACATGATCTGCAAATATAAAATAACTTGAAAATAGCATTATATTGTAACATCATAACAAAAATGGATACAAGAAATTCTTTGAAAGGGAACGCACATGGAAGCATAATTGAGGCAAACTTTTTAGACATGTTGAGGTGAGAAAAATTGTACCAAAGGAGATGAACAACCACCTTTTACAAAATAGTAGTTGCTTTTCTTTTTCAAGAGTGGACGTAACACTGTGGAGAATCCCACAATGAGCTTAGATCACTGGCCTTGTAGCCATATAGGTGACTCATTTAATTGTCGCTTTCCTTCATTTGGCAAGAGCTTGGAACATATAAATTCTTCCTTTAGAACTGGATTGGCTTTAGCTAAGCATTTCTTATGTTCTTGAAATCCACCAATTCTTTATCCATCATCTCAATGTGATAGTGCTTTTCTTTACCCATCAACATCTTTAGAATGGTTATAAATAAAAACATCATTTGGTGGGTTTATCATGTGGCCTTCAAGGAGTGAATTGCAGAAAATCCTTTCCCAATCATTACCATATTGACCATAACTACTTCATAGGTTTTAAGAGTGAGGACGAGTACTACACTTTATGTTTAAAGCAAAACTTGGGATATATTTGCTAAATTCAAACTCTGAAAATAAAAGATTTTTTTTATTAAAAATGAGAAATTTTAAGGAAACTGTCCTGTTTAAAGATAATTTCCCCAACAATAATCAAATGTGCATCAGATAATTTCACCTGCGATAATCAAATGTGCATCAGAATTACACAGGAAAAGAAAAAATTTCAAACCATGAAAGGTTAAAGGTAATGAAGGGATCAGTCAAGGTAACAACAAGATGAATCTAGCTTCTGGTTGGGGAAAAAAAGTATATAATAGTAAAGCACACACTAAAAGAGTTACCAATCTCTCCTTTTCTCTGGGGTCCACTTTTCTCTTCTGCTAGAGATAATCTTGGGGATAATCAGCACCTCCTGTAATAGTAACCATCATGCTATAAGTCATCATAATAAACTCTTTTTATAGATCCCCTAGTTTTTTTTAACAGTTATTTATATCTTTAAAAGGCAAATTTTCTCTTCCAAACATTTTTTCTTATAATTTTAGCAGCATCATAACTTGTTCACAGATGAAAATCACAATTCAGAAACACTCATAAACATTGCTCATTAATGTGATGAATGTAGCAATAAAAAGCTTATAATTTTATAGCATGTGTTGATGCACTGTAACATATCAACATTACTCAATGCCTAGATCTCATTACCATGGAAAGGGACTAAATACCAAATAGCAGAGAGCAATCAACTGCTGCCTCACTATGGTCCAACCCCTAATACTTTTATGGTGGCTATCCCTCATTCACTCCCACTTCCTGTAAAAACCTATCACTCAATCTGCCACCACCAAATTCTTAACCAGTACCACATCAATCCTCAGAGCCACTGACTGGCATCCAATAGGACAATCTCCAAACAGCATTCCCATATATACAAATGATACCTGAAGGGCTTGTCTAAACCATTTGATAAACTCCAAGTGGTAATTATATTTATAACTACAGCAAGAATAACTGCAATGGACTGCAAAACCATATATACAAGGATAACAAAAGGGCTTGTCTAACTAATAAAACCCCATTTGCCAATGGGTGAAAATGGAAGTAATTTGACCTGTAGCAATGGAATGATCATGTATTATGTCTTTTTTTACAAGAAATCAAAACGTACAGAACAAACGATAGCCAAATATGGAACATTTGATACACTACAACAATGCCTATTTCAGCAATTGCAAGAGAGCTTACCAGAGACGAAAGAGCAAGTGAACACCGGCGGCCGGCGGCCGGCGACCGGTTTTTAAAACGGTGAACTCCGGCTATCACACTGTCCATCCCCAGCATTTTACTGGTTTAAACGTGAAGCTGAGTGGTTTGGCATGAACCGAGACCATTGGACCATCGGTCGTCGCAAACCAGGCCGGCCCAGTTGAATTTCCTATAGAGGGTGGCCCATTAATTTAAGCCCAAAATCGGCAACTCAAGGCCCAGAAAACGGCCGTTGAAGATAAACTGCTACTGTAGCTCAGGCGTAATTCATGGCTTCTCTTGCGTTGAACCAGCAGCAGCTTCTCTGCTTCTCAAGTTCAAGATCAAGAGCAAAGACGCGGCCATGGCTTCCGCACAAAGTGACCCTTTTGAATTCTCGAAAGAAAGTTCATATCTTTCAGGTGTCTTGCTCTTCTTCGACTTCTCAGTCCCCTGATGCCAACACACAGACTGCAGAGTCATGCGTTAATCTGGGCCTCTCCCTCTTCTCCAAAGGACGGGTAGGCTCTGCCCTCATAATGCTCTGTGCTATAGACTGTGATTTCTGCATTGCTTTCCAGTATTTGAGTTTTGGTTATTTTTGTTGGTCCCATGAGTGCCAAAATCTTATCTTTTGCAACCGTAGTTCTTGAGGTTGATAATGTTTAGGTAGCTACCATTTCTAGCACTTATTTCTTTCGCCTGAAAATTTTGGTTGAGGCTCATGTTTCTATTGAAGGCAATGAAGTGATAAAATTTGTGGCCAATTGTGGCGTGCTATGAAACTGATGGAAGTAGGCCTTGGCTTAATTTGCTTAGCTTTCCTCGACATGAGGTTAATATTCTGGTCATGTCAATGGATATCTTTCAGGTTAAAGATGCGTTAGTGCAGTTTGAAACAGCACTTAGTTTAGATCCAAGCCCTACGGAAGCTCAAGCTGCTCTCTATAATAAAGCCTGTTGTCATGCTTACAGGTAGATATCTCATATCTCTGATGTGTCTGTCCATCTTATGTTGATGGGGTTTTCAAATTATCATGTAGGATTCTAGAAACACATGAACTTTTAGAGCTTGTTGGGAAATAATTCATCATTAACCTGCTTCCACGCAAAATGATAAATAGGGTGTCTATCAAAATTCAAATTTATCTATTCTAATGTGGCCTTCTTTGGGTAACATATTATAGGTGTGCCTGTGGTTTTTGTTGCAAGTCATGTTGTTGTTAAGCCTCACCAATCTTTTGATTTCTTTGGACTCTTCTTCTATGATGTTACTCTGCTGTCCATGAACCCTAAGGCATGATTCATTATTAAAAGTAAACCTATTTTGAGCTGATGATTCTTTTATTAATCATTTGAATTATGTGGAAGAGGGGAAGGAAAGAAAGCTGCTGATTGTCTACGTACTGCTTTGGGAGAATATAACCTCAAATTTAGCACAATTTTAAATGATCCAGACTTGGCCTCCTTTAGAGCATTGGCTGAATTCAAGGAATTACAAGAAGAGGTTTGTTGCTTAATTTTTTGCCTGCCATGCTTATTTGTCATTCCTTTTTTGGTCTAATACATCCTAGGATCTTGTAGTATGGTAACAATTTTCGCCAAGTGACCACTCTTTTCTCCACCCCAATCCCACCTGGTGTTCCAATTTATTTGAAAGCATAAATTTCTCCGTGTAATAATCCCATCATTGAACACTGGTTTTGCTTGTAACAATTCAGTATGCTTCCAGGCTAGGCTGGGTGGGGAAGATATAGGCTATGGTTTCCGAAGAGATCTCAAACTCATCAGTGAGGTGCAGGCCCCATTCCGTGGGGTTAGGAGATTTTTCTATGTGGCATTCTGTGCAGCTGCAGGGATTTCAACATTTTTCACTATACCCAGGCTACTTAGTGCTATTAAAGGTGGTGATGATGCTCCTGATCTTTGGGAAACTGCTGGCAATGCTGCCATTAATATTGGAGGTAAGTAAATAAAGACATGAGTTGTAATTGATGGTTAGGGTCTTTGATAATTTCATAAAATCTGATTGCTTTTTTTTTTTTTTTATAGGAACATAAAATATGATTGTTGAGCAAATGCTTTGTAACTGGCTTTTTAAAATGACTAAATTTTTGAATCAGCTATCTACCAGGTATCATTGTTCTTGTGGCATTATTTTTCTGGGATAACAAGAAAGAGGAGGAGCAAATTGCACAAATATCCCGAGATGAAACACTATCCAGGTTACCATTGCGCCTTTCCACTAATCGGGTTGTTGAACTTGTGCAGCTACGAGACACTATTAGACCTGTTAGTATTTGAGCTCCATGTTTCACTCAAATTCTTCTTTCCAGTTTCTAGCTATGCCATGATAGCAAAAGCTCCAACTCATCATTACAAATTTCATGCCCCCGTTCTCACTGTTAAAGTTTTATATTGTTCGAAGAAATTCAGAGTTGAACCTTTTTTTCCATTTTCCCATAAGATAATTTCATTTCTTCTGGTGATTGATCTATTATAACAAAAATACTAACAGAATTATATTTTGTTAGGAAAATTTTGAAGACTTCTGAGTTGTTTAGAGCAACAAAATTTATGTATAACAATTCTGTCTTGCTTTCCCCTTCCAAATTTTGTGTACAAATGCTTTTACTTTGGTGGTGAAGGAGAAACCAAGAAAAGAGAACAGAAGGAAAAGCAATTACCATTAGATCTGAAGTCTTTAGATTCTCCATGAAAGATTTGCTATTATGATTGATTATAGATACATTATTCATTCAGTGTTGTTTTGCCATTACTCATTTAATATCCTCTAAAATGCATTTCAAGTGTAACTTTAGCTATATACCAGTCCTGACTTTTTTTCTTTTTTCTTTTTTTTATAAATTTGCCTTATTTATATCCTTTTGTGTTATTAAATTCTAACTAATTGAAAGCATGAACTCAGGTTATTTTAGCTGGTAGTAAAGAGACTGTTTCATTGGCTATGCAAAAAGCAGAGAGATTCCGAACTGAGCTCCTCAGACGAGGTGTTCTCCTTGTTCCTGTCATATGGGGTGAAGGTAAAGAAACACAAGTGGAGAAGAAAGGTTTTGGTGTTTCTCCAAAGGCAGCAACTGCCCTTCCTTCAATTGGTGTAAGCCATAAAATTTTCTATCTATAACTGCATGCAAGAATCATTCTTTGAGGCAATTCTTATACACAGAATTCTTGCGTTTTCATCATGCTTCTGGTTTTAGATCAAGAAAGCATAGTTTTTCATTTAAAAGGTTTTGTTCCTTCCCTAATTCTTTATCTCATGGTACCATGTAGGAAGACTTTGAGAAACGAGCTCAGTCCATAATTGCCAAATCAAAATTGAAAGCTGAAATTCGATTTAGGGCTGAGGTCGTATCACCTGCAGAATGGGAAAGGTCACCTGCTACCCTATATTTGATGTGATAGTTTTTCCATTGTTTTGAATTATGTACAAATAAAGCTTTTAATCTTCTCCAAGACAACTGCATCTCTGAAAATTATAGAATATACATTCTACTTCATGTTTTCAGTAAATCGATTTCAAACTGTTGAATTGCCATCCTAGTTATAAGCTAGAGGCTCAAAATGATGTTTCTGGTTCTATTAATCCTTTCTCTTTTCACTAAAGATCCTTCCTTTAACTTATTTAGGTGGATAAGAGATCAACAAAAGTCAGAAGGAGTTACTCCTGGAGAGGATGTGTACATTATATTGCGCCTAGATGGTCGAGTTCGAAGATCAGGAAAAGTAAGTTCAAATGTTGAATCTTTGTGCCCTATTAAATTTAAATTGAATTTTTTTTTATCAAATCTTATTGTTAGAGTTTCATCATCAAAATGTAGGATGAGTTATAATGACATCCTTTTCCCTAGATATACTTGATTGTTAAAATACATTTTTTTTTTTCAAATTCATACACTACTTTTGAAGCTTAGTTGGTTTTGAATCAGTTTATCTTTCCTTTGACCAGCAAATGATTTTCAAAGGCCATTGAATGAATCAATGCTTACTTAATTATCACTCCCGGTTCCTAATAATCAAATCTGAAATGGTTCAATTGGTTGCATTGTAGGACAACTTGCCTTTTCCTTCTAGAAACTGGCAAGTTATAGATGTAAATTATCAGCATTTCTCACGTTTTGACAAACTTCCAACTCTGTAGGGCATGCCTGATTGGCAGCAAATAGTAAAGGAGCTGCCACCAATGGAAGCATTTCTCAGCAAACTAGAAAGGTAGAATTTCACTTTCAAGGGTGACTCAACTGATTACGAACTTGAGATTATAAATTAAAGATCTTATGTTTGAACCTTCAGTAGAACAGGAAGGGATTTGGAAAAAGAAGATGATTATCTCCTCTTGTATATTTCAACGTCAGATGTACTAAAAATAAAAATAATAATAAAAAAAATTTTCTGGTTACCAAGCCCTTTTTCTAGAATTCTTTTGAGGAAGACAACAAAAATATTTCAATCAATTTGAGTGCTCAATGTTATATCATTGACTCGCTATCAAGTAGGATTGTTATCACATTTGGCTGGATAGCCGGTTATTTTACATCAATCTTTAGCAATAATGCAATATATTATTTGTTAATAGAAAAAGAAAAAGAATTCTATTACTTAAAAAAAAACGTAATCCTTATAAAAAAAAAATTGTATTTCATATATGACTATATATTAAAAATATAATTTTGATATTGAAAGTGTAATTTCAAAATAAAATTATTAAATTATCATTAATTATCTATGGTAATTTAGACTCTTCTTATGTTTATTCTCTCATATTTATTCATTAATATTAATTTAATAATTTCATTATCAAGACTTTATATTATTAAAGACATTTTAATAATTTTAATATTAAAATTACACTTTTAATATGTGGTTTAGAGGGAAATATAAGAAACTTATCCATGTTTCCATTTAAATAATAAAAACTTATTTGTCCTGACATTTAGTTGCATTGGATCCATTGAGGAAGTTTCACTTTCGCTTTTGAATTTTGTTGAGGGAACAACAGACTTTATTTGTTTCTTACGTCTATATTTCTTTTCACACCCAACTCTTGCTTTCCCATCTCTTCGTTTTAGATATTTTGAAATTTTTTAATTTGTGTCGTATAGTATATATTAAAAATATAATAAATATATTTTTTATTATTAAATTTATATTAAAAAATAAAATTTAATTTTTAATTTATTAATTATTCAATTAAATTTATTCACTTGACACTAATATTAAAATTAATATCAATTTTTATATTATTTTATATGTATTTATAATAAAAAGATATATTTAAAAACACAACTTAAAAAGATAGAATACTCAAATCTACTTTCAAAGTTAGGTAGTAGGAACAGTTTCACCCAAGAAAAAAAAAAAAACAAATCAACAGACAATTTTCAACTTAAATAAATAATTCCAAATTTAATGTGTAATAATATTGACATCAACAATTAGTTAGTATGATGTCAATAATGCGTTAGTTTGTTACCAGAATGATGATGACATCAGATGATGTCACAGTTAAAGTTGAAGCATGCAAATTAGCCCTTAAACATGTCAAGAGGTGGCTAGAAAGTCCCTCAAGTAAAATTAATGGCAAATGACCCCTTAAACTCATGAACGGTGGCAAATCAGTCCTTGTTTAACGACCATATCAGTATTTCGTTAAAAACTAATAGTTCTCTAGTTTGAATGAATTCCACAGCTTATTTGGACGCATTGTGGTGTTAAACCATTAATATTTTTGAATTTTCTTAAATATTTCATTAAGATTTAATTACTATAATTTTTTTCATACATTAAAATTTAATTACTTGCAATGAAAATCAATTGGATTAATTAAATCTCAATTGTCATTTTCTCAAGAAAACAAGAATCGAAAAACCCTATGTATTGTAGGATGGTTTCACTACTAAATAACATCTCATTTCACCCATGAAAATTATCTCAATTTAAAAATTGTGAGGAAATAATTCTAAATTTAAAATTAAAAAAAAATTTGAAGAAAGAGAAATTAAAAGCTATGAAATTCCATGAACTAATTTTTTATATAAATTAATTATTAAAAGGTGCATAAATTACACCAAGGTTAGAAAAACTATTATTATATTAATTTATCCTTTTTTTCCACTTATTTTTTTAAGGAATTTTAATTTATAATTTAAAGATATAAGTTAAAGATATATTTACTTTTAATTATTAATTTGCATAAAAAA